TAATTTTTTTAGATAATAAAAAATAGAAAAATAAAAGCGTTCTAGGTACAACATAACACTAACAAATAAACAAAGCCTTAACAGATAAATTTAGATTATCCTCACAAGTCACAAGAGAGGGCAAGAGCAAATCCAATCGTCAGGCACAAAAAATAAACTCCATCTGCGTTAAATTCAGATGCAAAGGAAATGACGTTTTAGTAAAAAAATTTGTTTCCAATTATTTGACGTTGTAAGAAAACTAATACATCATTATTATTATTTTTCAATCTTACCTCAACCTCACTAACCATTAAATGCAGAGACACTAACGCCTAAAAGGATAATTGGTTGAAAATGTCACAAGGCTAATTTAATAAGTTCAGAGTATGTTTGGTTTAAAGGGCGGAGAGGGTCTGCAAATTCCTATATTTGATTAAAGGAAAGTTACATTTTAGCTATTTGTGATTTGGAGTTGGTATATGCAAAAAAGCATGAGATTTTAAAATGTGTATATAAAATATTTGTAATTTGAGATGGATGCATATAAAAGTTTGAGATTTTAAGATGTGAAAATAAGAACTTAAAATTTCTATTAAGTACGCATAACCACAGGAAATTACAAGTAGTATCCTAAATACTCTTATTTTTCTTTTCTTTTTATTCTTTTAAGTTAAGGCCTTCAAAAAATTTCAAGTGGCTATTTGCACAAGAGTAAAGCTAATTAAAGTGTTTATGTGCATATTTAATATTTTAGGTCTTTATCTGCACATACCAAAAACTCTAAGTATATTCTGTATATATTTCATAATCTCAAGTTTTTATTTACACTTACCTCAAACTAAAAGTAGTTAAATGGCAATTTCCCTTTTAATAAAAAAAAATGGAGGGGAGGGTATGGAAGTCATATATGTTATATATATATATATATATATTTAGTTTCTTCACTTATTCAAATGAGGGGAGAGAAGGGAAGGAATAGAACTTCCTTCTATTTTCTTCAAGCCACAAACCATTTGTTGATGGACGTTTTTGTAGAAGATCAAATTCGGACTTGGATAATTTCCATGTCACCAAAACCTACCATGATCTAAGTGCCCATTAATGCCTTCAACTTGCATTTACCAAAAGGCCTAGCAATATCTAATGCTATAGCACATGGCTAGGCCCAACAATATTTAATGCTATAGTACATGGCTGCATTGCTAGACATACACAATAAAGTCTTACTCCTTTATTATTTCCTTATTTACTAAATTTCATCATTTTCATCAACTTATCAGTATTTCTATATGCAGGTCATCAATAAACCTATGAATCCAAGCTCATGGGGATTATTCGGCATAAATTATGGGAGTAGTGGCTTGGCAAACACCCATTTGGCGAAGTGAGGCATTCACGCCAACCAACCTTGGAGCTAGCAATGTTACGTGACTTCGCCAGAAACGACTAGGTGGTGAAGACCTGGAAGTTGGACTTGATCCCCAAAACCGTACCATTTGATGCTAACTAGAAGCTTAAAATCTTGTTAAAAATCAACCAAAAATGCTATTTAAGTCTCCATTAGAAACTTGCAACTATATTTAATGCAAAGGTGGCTGCACAAGTTACACTACATTGGAAAATGTTGCAAAAGATTATATTTTGCTTGGAAAATCCACCAAAATCCTAGGTAGATCTTGGAAAATCTACCAAAATCTTGGGCAAATATGATTTTGCTAGCTGCACTCAAATACCCCCTAAAAATAGTATTTCATATAGCTGGAGAGTAACTAAAAATAGACAGTCTTCAGTAAATTAGCAATACTTTGCTATAACCAACGATGCTTCATTGGAACCACTAAGTAATTCATAATATAACTGTCAAAAAGCTATCAACAATGCCAAGAACCACTCAAAACTTTCACCCAAATCTATCCATTGGGTTGTTGGGCTACTCTAGCCCATCAATCCAAAACTTACAAAAATGTCACTGCACATATATATATATATATCTATTATTTTTCCTTCATTTTTCAGCAAATTTGAGGATATCAAAATAGTTTTCACAGCTCCAACTTTCTTTCTCATGCACCAAACCTCCATTTTTCCTTTGAAAAATCCTTCATCTTCAACCTCTCCCTATATACACCAAAAATACTTAGAAATTACCTTTTTTATTACATTTTCTACACTTCCAGCACTGTAGAATATTTTCTAGACTTACAGAACATTATGGCTAGGAGACAATATATTGCAGTTTTAGTTTCTGGATAATTTTCTTAAGTATCAGAGGATCAAGTTGAGAGGTTATCATTAAAAATGGGATCAAGCCCTCCATTCACAAGCCCCCACGACAGTCATCCTTCCTTCTCCATCACTACTTTTAAGTTGATTCCTTTTGTCTTGTTAAAGCTTGAGGGAAGTCATTGTGATTTTTACCTATAACATGAGGGTTGCTCATTATAGAGTAGGAGTATTTATCAAGGATAATAGAGGGCACATTCATTGCTTTTTCTATTATGCTACAATATACTATATATAAATGTGCTTCTTAAGTAGTAATCTTTAACCCTTATATGTTTTCTATCCTTGCTACTCCTACAATAATATACATCTCCTTTTCATTATTTTTGGTAGTTGTGTAATCATTCTCGGTTCTTGAAGCTCCATCATTGT